TGTAAAACGATTGTTGTTAAAAATTATAGTCGATGTAGTGTTCGCATCTCTCTCAAATAGTGTGTATTTCATTGTGTAACGTGTGTATTTCAGTGTTATTAAATGGAACTTTTAACGCGTATCATATTTTATAGCCCAGTTTAAGCTGAATTTTCGGTAATAACATTTTACGATGTAACTAGGGTAATAAAAACGTATAGACCGATAATATGAGAACAGTCATAAAACTCTGTACTTACTGCACTTCAGTACAGACCTGTTAGTTTCAAAAGAAGTTTCTGGAAAGTTCAGGTTTGGCTTTCTTATTTTTTCACAGTACCTAAAAATAGTTCACCGATTTTTATAATTTATTACGATGCATTTATCTTACACAGTAAAAAAACTCTAGTCACATATTTGTGTGATATATTGTTCTTCAGTAAATAATTCTTTATTATTTGTATCCTTACTACTCTTATAAAATATTATTACTTCACTGACACATATATAATTTTAAATGTTAATACGAAAGGATACGTTATTACTTCTGGGACATGCAAATTCTATTCATATATACGCTCGTATATATTTAAAAGTATAATAAAGTTTTAATGCTACAAAAGTATCGAAACAAGAAAATCAAAACTCCAATAACTGAGTTACTTAAAATTTTTAAAAAAAGTACCCATACTTTGGCAGATCACTGTAATTATGTTAAGACTAACAAAGTAGGGATATGTTTTTATTTTTATTTATTTTAAGTAACTAAGTTTTTGTAGTTTTGACTTTCTTGTTTCAATATTTTTGTAGCATTAAAATGTTTTCATTACTATAGCTATCTAAGTTACTTATATATCGATTTCTACTTGTCTTTATAATTTTTTTTTTTAATTTTACTTGTTTGTTTGCTTGTCTGGCAAAGTCACTTACTTACTTATTTAGATGAAAATTCGTTGAAAAATTTGATTCACTCCATAAACACGTATATAGTGATTTATGCGGCTTTATAAATACAATAAGCTTTAGTTTTGCTCATCCAATACTGTGAAATAGTCATTGTTAATATTCAGGAATTTTATAGGTGGTTCTAAACAGTTTTTTTTTATGACCACCATTTTATTTCATCACGATCGCTGCTATTAAACTACCGTACTTAATGATATATTATATAGGTTCCGAATATCAAACGTAAACACGTCTTTAAGCCTATGGATGCTTTTATGATTGGTACACGGCATTAATGTCTTTTTTGTTCCTAATGAACAAATTAAGATATATATATATATATATATACGTAATGAATTATCATAAGGATGTTTTATTGTTTTGTTTTCGCTAACATTTCAACCAGATTCGTATTTCTCGAATATAAAAAATATACATGTACTCCATGAATTATAAATACAGGAGTATTGCATTAAAAATTAACGAGGCAAATATAATATTTTACCATATATAATGACATTGTTCCACATACAGGAGGAAGCGGTTGCCTGTAAGAAAAACCATAACTTAGAACTGCTTAGAATACAACATTGGGTGGAACAAAGAGGACACGTGAATGCGTCGAAGCTATAGTGTGTCTGTACAGTCTTTTGATAGAATATACTTTATTTCCAAAAATGTGTCGTTTTCATCTTCTTTGTAACTGCTGTCCTTTCTTCCCGCTTGTACTATGTGCCTTATGGAGCACATACGTCATAACAAATATAAATAGCATTTCAAATGTCGTACGTGCTTTAGTGATTTGGTTGAAACTATCCGATTTTGGAATCGGTTATTACTAGTTTCGACCTCTGAATTGAGGGGAGAAGCTTTGAATGAGCTGCCAAACATTTGTTTGAAGACTGGGCGAAATCTAGTAGTTAGCATGTTGGATTGCGAATAGGAAAGTCCAAGGTTAGAGCCAAGATTGACCACCGAACACGCTCTGCACTTTCATTTGTGGTGTCATTATAAATTTGATAGTTTCTTTATTCGTTTAAGAGTAACTGTTTAGGTGGGGGTTGCTGCCACCTACGAGATGATGACTGTACTTGAACCTTGAATTTTACTTACAAGGTTGTTTATTTTTATCCCTAAGAGAGAAGTGATATGTTGAACTGTAATTAACAAATGTCAAAGGCGAAGTGTACTTTGCTACTCAAGCGTTTATAATAATAAATAATTTTGGTTATGTTTGGTAATACAAAGATAAGTAGGTATCTATCATTTTTATGTTTTACTATTTTTTAAAATTTCTAACATTTTATGTTTAAAATACGAAGTATTTATTTATACTGTGCCGAGTGGTGTTGAAGAAACTAGGTTTTCTGATTTCCTTATGTATTTGTGTGTATGTGTGTATTTATATGTCTTGTAGATTTCACGTCGTTAGGTTTATCTTTTCAGTCTCAAGAAATAGTTATATCATTCCAGAAATCCACATAAAACACACGCGGTCTCTCTACGTAGTATGTATATGAATTGAAAATGTACCAAGTGTTAAGTAATATCTCTCACACCAAGATGCATCAAATACATAACAAATTAATTAGCTTTTCCATGTCGACATCTAACACGTTATACAGAAAGTTATAACTTTTGTGTCATTGAAACTGAAACATTCGTTCCTCAGAGATTATTTTCACGTCCTTATTGTTAACACAGCACATAAAAAAAAAAAAGATTTGTTTATTGTTGTTTTTCTGGACTAAACAGTGTTCCTGGATAGCGTAGTAAGGAAACACGAGCGATGCACTTTGAAAACGACAGAGAGTAGATTTCTCGTGCCTCGGCTGACTTTTCAGATACATATTACCTTTCACTGTTGCTGTCAGTCTTTTTGTAACCACTCTTTCGAATGTGGTGGCTGGTTTATTTCTGACTTGTCGTTATACATTTTTTCTTTGTTTAAAATGTATTACTGACACATCTTTAAGATATCTGAAGAAGAATTTAGAATCTTGCGCAGACCTACTCAAAGAGCTATCTGCGCATAGACATTCCCAATTTTGAACTGATATACTAGAGAGAAGGAAACTAGTCAACAGTACTCACCACTATCTCTTGACCGTCAGTGTTATAGTTCACCCATGGCACTAATTGCGGAGCGCGTGTTTGCATCAACGAGTTACAAACCCGTGAATCCTGGGATTCACAACCTTTATGTTACGCTCAGACCATCTGCAAAAGCAAGAAAAATATGTTGAATAAATAATGAAGGATGTGCTTCAAAGGAGTTTACTTCTTTTGTTGTGTGGTGGACAGGAACGCCTAGATTCTGTTCTGAAAATTAATTTACCAGTTTCTTAGTTATTGATTATATACAAATACGTGTATTCATCCCCATTTCATATCACATCCTTATCACTTACATGTAATAAAGTATTAGTTCAGGTTTTAGTTAAACAATGCTATAAACGTCTACAGACAACTTTATGTCTTATTGGTGTATTTAAATAGTATTACTACAAATGGAAACATTGTCGGTTTCACAAGTTGTTGCCTGGCATGCTCTGGTGGTTAGTGCTCGATCTGTTGGCTGTGGCTTCGAATCCATTCACCGAAAATACTTGCTCTTTCATCCTTGTGAGCGTTGTAACGTGACAGTCTGTCCCAATATTCGTTGATAAAGAGTAGCCTAAGAGTTAATGGTGGGTGGTGTTGACTAGCTGCCTGCCCTCTAGTCTATCGCTGCTAAATTAGGAACGGCTAATGCAGGTAATCAACAAACCAACAAACTCTTAAGTTGTAGAAATAAGAATAAAAAAAAAGACCTGAAGATTTTGTTTATAGGAAAAAAAAAAATCTTGAACACTATCTGGTAAAATTATAAGTTGTGTGTGTGTGTGTGTGTGTGTGTAATTCTCCAGTGATGTGTCTCTTTCTGGTGTAATTCTCCCAAAATGTGTGTCTTTCTTTTTTTTTGGGGGGGTGGAGTACATGATGAGACCAAAGGGACAAAGAAATCGAATCTTAATGACAAGTCTCCTCCTCTCTCCTAGTGGTTCAGCTGGAGAACATATAACGCTAACATTCGAGTTTCGATTCCTGCATTAGCCAAAGCTCAGATAGCCAATTTTGTAGCCTCTCGATTAACAGCACACAAACTTAATTTCAAGTTCATAACTAGCTTGAGAAGCCGACTGGGTTTTTATATTTAACAGACATGTGTAGCTGGCGTTTAGATATTTAAGTGTTGTCTTATTATTTCATAACACAGTAGGAAACAGAATAGTTTGTCATTTCTATTGATATTTCTCATCATACGAAAAGAGAATATTATCAAGGTCTTTTGGCTTATACATAATAAGTTTTAAAAAGGAAACGGTAATCATCCAGTTGGATAATCCGTGATAACGTTGGGACACAATGTTATTCTTAATATAAATAACTAAATTTGCCTTCAGAATACACATACAAATGTTATTCGGCTGTATTTTGATCCTATACAGGTATGTAAGTTGACATTAGAAGTCACAACAAAGAAGCATTACTTAAATATAACATAATAAAATTTCAAAGGTGAAATACAGATCAAATTATGAAATATATCAAAAAGTTGTTAATAGATATAATTATTGTCTTATTTAGTTACATGAAGTGTACTTATTTCATTATAGACTTTATTAATAATTATGTGTTTGTAACATTTTCAGTATATAATTTTGAAACCATGACAACATTAGTGCTTCCAATGAACAACAAAGGTTCCTTTCTTGTGTGAGAAAAGTGCAGATAGCCCATTGTGTTGCTGTATGTTTAAAGAAAACGAAAAAAGAAGCTGATATTAACTGAATTAAATCTTGAGGATTATCCACTAAATACACCTTTTGTAAGAATTGTGTGAACGAAGGCGTTTCTGTGAATTTTTTTTTTCATAAAATTTAGAAAAAAGTTCTCATTAACAAGATGCATTAATCAATAATATGACAAAGGTACATAAACAGACATCCACTTACAAATAATACACACGTGTCTTTGTGTGTATACTCTATACTAAGCCTTATAAAAACCTTACTTATTTTTTCTTCCCGCAGGAGATTGCTGCTATATTAATCAGCTTCGAGAGACATGAGGATTGGCTCTCCAGAGAGGTAAAGGTTAGGTAGGTATTTTACAAGATTAAGCACGTTTTCCATACCCTGAGGGTGGAGTTGGATCAGGAGAACGTGACAAATGTGTATCAAACAAAGTCTATACTAGGATAGTGGAAATGTTAGTAATTAATTTAGTATATTTTGAGGAAGGTTAAAAATTGTGATAGTAATAACAGGGCTTTTCGGTTACTCAGTAATAAATCTGAAGGCTACGTGTTTTAAGCATAATACCAGCGGCGGCGGAACACAGATACTTCATTGTGTAGGCTTGTGCTTCACAACAAACAGACAACATGTAAATTTTACAATAATATATGTCACATAAAGAATTTAGACTTTAAAAATCGCGAGAGTTTTAATCACAAACGAAAACCCCGATGACCAGGATGTGTTCGGAATATATTTCTTCCTTCTTCAGGAATGAATTATTTAGAATTATTATTGGGGGGGGGGGGCATATTTTTTCATCACATTTTTCTAAACTGTTTATTCAACAAATTGCTTGGGGGTCCATGTTTTCTTTGTTGGTTACAGGGTCGCTGACATACGAGTCTATAACATAAAGTACACAAAATACACCTTCAAAGTTGTATTTAAACCCAGTAATTGCTACTGGGACTTTTTTGTAACTTACATAGAAAATTAATGATTTCACCCATTTTTTCTCCGTTCTTTAGATTGTTTTGTAACAATTAAATTCATGACATATCCCAATACAATGCACTTTGTAGATCCCCACCGTAGTGAACGTATATAAACAAGTCGGTATTTGACTCGCAATCTGCGGGTCGCGGGTTCGAATCCCCTTCACACCCTTTCAGCCGTGGATGCGTTATAATGTGACGGTCAATCCCAGTTTTTTTTCTATACATCTAAATCGTAAAATTTTAGTTAATGCTCCTTTGGTGCTTAATTTTATTTTAATAAGCATTCGACGCGGTAATGTAGACTACTAGCGATAATTGTGTTATGTAAGAATCAAATTATAACATATGGGAATATTCAGATATATGAACTGTTAAACCTGTACGGTGTGGTCAAGTTTAAAAAAGTACCATTCCAGAAGCTGGCCTGTTATCACTCATCAAGGTTACTAATGGTTAGTATGGACAAATTTAACTAACTGTATGTCTCCTTTAAGCTCATTATTGATTTATCTTTATTAAATATCAGTCAGTAACCAGGTTTGTTGAGGCTCCATAAAGTGTGTACAGTAATTTTGCCATATTAATTTAAATTTATCATATAAATTTTCGTTTGAATATCTGTTTCTTAGCGGTGTTCATCCCACATTCTCTCTTTACAGGCCCAAGAGTGGTTCCATGCTGTTGTACAGTAGGAAACGTGTCAGGTATCGACGGGATGGCTACTGCTGGAAGAAACGTAAGGATGGGAAAACAACACGAGAAGACCACATGAAACTGAAAGTTCAAGGAACAGAGGTAAGTTAAGTTGATTAAACTAAAGTATCCATCTAAACTTGACTAGTTAAAAACAATAACATGCATTTGAGCCAGGTGCTCTTATTTATTGTTGTGATTATCATAGATATGACCGTGTATTGGTATCTTGATTTATGTTTTGTTTCATTAGTTTGATTGGAATAACCGTTTATTTGGATATTTGTATTGTGAATACATTGTTAATTTTTGTTTTATTTCATAGATTGTTTGGTATATCCGTTTATTATATATTTATATTGTGAGTACGTTGTTGATTTGTGTTTTATTACATTGTATTTATTACGTTTCATGTAATAGTGTAATGGATATTTGCTCAAGAAACAATGTTGCTTCTGTTTTTTAATATAACTTGTTTACATTGTTTTTGACAGTCTTAACTTCTATCTCGGATATTTGGATTGTTAACGTAGTCGATCGAAGGAAGAATATTACAAAATCGATAGAAATCTGAACAACAGTTTTAGTTTTGTTATTAGTGTTTGTTCAATTCCACATCTGAATTATGATGCTATCAAGAATTATCCAGTGGAAACAACGGTATAAGATCATCAAACTATCTAGTAATTACTGAAACACCAGAGCATTATCAGAAAGATACAAACAGGTTAAGGGAAGCGTATAAAGTTTGCGGCAGTTAACTGTACGTTCCTTTATTATCTCAATAGAAATGCATTGCTTACACGTGGGTAGGCTCTAATTTCACATCATGCCTCCTTGTTTTCTTTCAAAAAACGATTACGGTTGTGTCATAACAATGTGTTTTTGTGACATGTTGAGCATTGAAAATTAGTATATGTTCACAGTACAGTTTCTAACGGTTGATATGATGAAAAAATACATACTATCAATCCACGAGTAAAACTTCTGATTCTCGGGAGCGACAGACGTCGCATTTTGGCTTCGTGTCTGTCTGTATGTATGTTAAACACCACCATATATGGGGGAGGGTCCATATTACAGCGCCGACTCACTCTCAGGAGGTAACAGATTTGGTAACAATTGGTCCAGCGGTTCGTTAGTTATAAACGGACATTCACATACAAAACCTCTGTTAAGTAACGGTTTAAAAAAAAACAGATAACAACCCCTGTTTTAAGTTGTCTCCTCGGCCACAAAAATAAGCTAAGCGTGAAAAAAAAATATTTTAAAATTAATAATCTTCATTCCAGAATTACATCAAAATTTGTCAAACAGGAGCATCGACACCAATTGTTGGTAAAATTTAGAGACCATTCATATGATTTGGGGGGAATATTTCCTTAACATGGCGGGAGCGTGACCTAGTGGTTAGGGAGATCCAAGGTTCGCGGCCCGTTATTGCGAAATTGCTCTTGGCACTTTGGGGTCGTTATAACAGTGATGGTCAAATTCTAATACGTGATTAGAGTAGCCATTGTGAGTACTGTTGGCTAGCTTCCTTGTCTACAAGTTCAAAACTACAGACAGCTAGCTTTCTAGCTTTGCGCTAATATCCGAAACAAACACATCCTCCCTACTTAACACACATGTCCGTCACGAGTTTGGAGGAAACAAGTTTTTCTAAAGATTGAAGAAAATTTTAACACCAACAGGTCAAGCTCGTTTCCAAAATAATGTTATGGTGGTGTTTAACATACATACAGACAGACACGAAGACGAAAACGCGATGTTATGGTGGTGTTTAACATACATACAGACAGACACGAAGACGAAAACGCGATGTTATGGTGTTTAACATACATACAGACAGACACGAAGACGAAAACACGATGTTTCACGTCCAGGGCGTCATATATCTTCCACATGCGTTGAATGGGTACGTCCGTTAGTTATTATATAAATGTTATAAATACAAATATTTTTATTATTTTTACCAGAAATTGATACTTCTAAATTATATATAAAAATAAACTTATGGAATTTGTCTATGAATAAGAAGTTACAAGGGCTATCTGCGCTGCCCGTCATAATTTCGAACTGATAAACTAGAAGGACTTGAAGGTAGCTTGTCAATAGCACCCTCCGCCAAAATTGGGGCTAATTGGTACCGGGACACGAACCATGGCTCGGCACCATATAATCAATATTACATGCAAGGGCGCTCCAGGGGTGTCCATGAAATTTACCTTTTCAGTTGCTCAAATAGGCCCCCAAAATCAATGGATTTCTTTTCAGTAAACAAAGTGACACCTTGTGAGTAAAAGATAATGCATGATAATTTTGCTTATGTATCATTTAAACATAAACACGCTAGCAAATCAAAGGGAGCATCTGGTGAACACTTGTAAACTGTAGACACTCACAGAAAAGGACGGTAAGTTATCGTGGACAAACGTATGACACATTTATCAAATTGTAACTGTTAAAAGTAGGTAATGGGTGATCTCTTGCCTTGTGTAACCATTGTTAAATAACAAGCAAATAACGATACAACTAGATTCTTAAACTTCTGTAACAGATGTAACACATCCCCATAAAAAAAGGTTTTTTTTCTTTACTTAGACACTGATGTTTAAACTTCGATA